AAATGACGAATTTCATATAAAGTGTACATAATTTCCTTGTATAGAGGCAGATATCGTATTCCAAATAAACATTCCTCACCAAGTCTTTTGTCTTCTACTGTTACACAAAGGCGATACTGAAGAAACTGTTTCTCTCATTTTTTCGGTACTAAATAAATTCCCTAGGCATCAAATACTCCAAAAGACGACAGAAGTTATCGCACTTCGTTTAAAACAACCGGAACTCTGAGTACTATCCTGCTCTGCTGTGGGATGTATAAATTCATAAATTTTGTATTATTTTCTCCAAATTCATCTATTGATCATGATTCCATATCATTCAAAGGAAACCCGTTACTGTTGTCAATTACAATAATTCTTTAACTTCATACGATTCTTCCCGTTAAAAAAAACCAGGAACGATAGGCGTACCAGTACAACATGAGCTCATCTTTCATTATTTCGAGGATTCTTCTCAACCGCCTAAACAATAATAATAATAGCTTTGTCCTGGACAGTGGTTACACAATATACAGAATTTCTAGCTGAGTATATTGCATGATATTTTCTCTTCGTACAGGATCTTCAGATAAAATATTCATAGATAGTAGATCCTGTGACACAGTCCTATCTGATCTGAAGCGCAAACCAATCCATTACATTGATATCTCTTCTTTGTATCCTTCGAGAGATGCAAGACACTTTGGTTGAAAGCCAATTGTAAAAAGTTTAGGAGTACATTTTGACACCCAATGACATAACTTAGAGACAGTTGTCTCATGTAATAGGATATTTTTTTCCGTCACGTTCCCAGTGGAACATAGAGCTTGAAGTTTCTGTAGCAGTGTTTATTTCACAGGATGGGTTTGCTAGCCTCATGCCCAACCTTTCCTCTTCACCAGCATTATTTCTGGCTTAGCAAGGTAAAGGGGTGCGTCGGCAGGGGATCGAACCCCGGACCATGTGCATGGTCGGCGAGCGTCCTAAGCGCTATGCCACCGACGCACTTATGTATTAGGATATGCTGACACCCAAAATTATACCTTTTCCCTCAAGTTTAGTAGAGGCAGCAGCTTGTAAACACTTTAAATACTCACGAGAGTAAATCATACCATTAGAGGTCATATTTTAATCAATTAAAACAAAGAAAACATAATAAATTAGATGCAAAATAGTGATGGAAGATTTTTGATGTAAGAACTTGTGCACTGTGGTAGAGTATAATTCCATTATGGGGAAAGTAATTTAGAAAAAAGCTCAGCGATTTCACTGCAGGCACTGACACACAACCGCACGATGGGGTGGGAGAGGGTTAAAATTCTAAGAAGTAATTTAGGTAGGTGAGGAGAGAGAGAGGTCGATTACTGAATCCATGTTCATCGAGTCTACACTGAACACGTGCAATAGGAATGACTCATCAAAAACTCCCAGAAATATGGAAAATACTATTACCAATCAAATCAAGCGGTGAAAAGTAGTGGAGTTATATAAACGAAGTTAGAAAGTTGTGTTAGTAGTGCCTTTATATGATTATGTGCAGGGCGATAAATTGTGCTCAAGACGTGGTCATCAGTAAATATTACTGTATAACACCACTGTGAGATTTAATCAAAGTAAATTTTACCCTTAATGAAATGGAAGATTTTTGGTAACGCAAGTGTTAAGCAGGCCACAGTTTGTCAACTTAAATCACGATACAGATTTGAACATACTTTTTACGCGATGAAAAGAAGTAATCGATGAGAACTATATTAGTAACAAAAGTGCGGAATAATGTCAGCTGTCAAAAGGATTGCCTATTAACAGAACAGTCAGACGAATACTAACAGACACTAGTTATATTTTGGACAGTCTGAAAGCGCTGAAAACAATCAACAGAAAAATAAACGTAGCTTCTTAAGTTTTACTGAGGCAATCGCCAAATCTACGTTAGCAGAAGTGAAATCATTGCATAACCTTCGTGGTTATACTTGGAAAATAAAGTTATATAATTTTTATCACATCATATATATTCTCCTATAGCTTCTCTCCTTTTTTAGAAAATTACCCAATTACCAAGGAAGAAAGACAGATTAAACAATGGCCGGACCACTTCAAAGGACTCTTGAACCGACCACCACCTGCAACCCGTCCAGAAATACCAACAACAGCGCGTACACAACTGCAAGTTGACACCAATCCTCCAACAAAAGCTGAAGTCTTGAATGCAATCAAGCTTCTGAAAGCTGGAAAAGCAGCTGGACTAAATGGAATACCCCCGGAAGCACTGAAAGCGGACCCAAAAACGACAGCAGATATGCTGACTCCATTATTGCAAAAGGTCTGGAAGGAGGGAAAGGGGCCTACTGACTTGAGAAAAGGTTACCTCGTGAAACTACCGAAGAAGGGCGACTTAGGACTCTGCAAGAACTGGCGAGGAATCATGCTCCTGTCGACGCCAAGTAAAATCCTGAGTCGCATCATCCTGGAGAGAATAAAGGATGCACTGGATACAGAACTCCGACCACAACAAGCTGGATTCAAGAAAGGCAAATCATGTTCTGACCAAATTGCAACTCTACGCATCATCATCACTGAAGAAAGCATGGAATGGCAATCAAATCTCTACCTCAACTTCATAGACTTTGAGAAGGCCTTCGACAGCGCAGCGTTGACCGCGAAGTAATTTGGAAACTACTCGAGTACTACGGAGTACCCCAAATATTCATCAACCTTATTCAACAACTGTACGACAACGGCACATGTCAAGTGATCCACAACGGAAAACTCAGCGAAGCGTTTGGAGTAAACACAGGAGTCAGACAAGGGTGCTTATTATCACCAATGATATTCCTAATTGTGGTGGACTGGATTATGCGTCAGACAGTGGGAAACGAGAAGACTGGGATATCCTGGACCGACGTGAAGAATCTAGAAGACCTGGATTTCGCGGATGATTTATGTTTGATGTCACTCAAAATCGAAGACTTACAAGCGAAAACCGACAAACTGGTCGGAGAGGCTGGCAGCAAAGACAGGACTCCAGGTGAACATAGACAAGACGCAGGTTATGAAAATAACCAACAACAACAACAACAGCGACATCCAGCGCCAATCACCATCAACCGCAGTGATTTGAAAGAGGTTACTTCATTCACTTATCTAGGGAGCATTGTATCAACCACAGGAGGAACGGACGAGGATGTCAAATCGAGAATCGGGAAGGTGAGAAACACATTCATCAACCTGAAACCAATCTGGAAATCTTCGTCACTCAACTCAGCATCAACAACAAAATTCGGATTTTCAATACAAACGACGTCAAACCAGTCAGTTCTTCTATACGGATCAGAAACTTGGCCAGTGTGTCACAAAGAATATTTCCAACAGCCTGTTGCAGACCTTTATCAACAACTGTCTTCGCTCCATACTGAAGATCAGATGGCCAGAAAGAACAAGAACCAACAAGGAACTATGGGAACAAACAAAACAAGAACCAATCACCCAACAAATATGTAGGAGAAAGTGGAGATGGATTGTACACTCGCTGAGGTGGCCGTTGGGTGATATCACGCGTCAGGCCATAGCTCGAGTGGAACCCGAAAGGGAAATGGCGAGTGGGACGTCCAAGGGTGACATGGAGGAGATCGTGTGAAGAGGAGGTGAAACACTGTGGATTAACATGGATGTAGGTGAAAACTACAGCAGAAGATAGAAGCAAGTGGAGACGTGTAGTTGAAGCCCTATGTTCCACTAGGAACCCAAGGGAACAATAATAATATAATAATGATAAACTGTTTCACCTGAACGTTACCCACTCAATTGTATTTCGTTTAGTTACGTAACCTACTGCTAGTGCGTCGGTGGCATAGTGGTTAGGACTCTCGCCGACCATGCACATGGTCCGGGGTTCGATCCCCTGCCGGCGCACACCCGATATCTATGGTATGCCTGAATTTGGGCAACCGATATCCATGCTGAAAATTCCATACTTGTACTGAAAATACGGTGTGGAATCAAGCTGTAAATCGAAATCGAAATGAAATAGTACAGTCTTGTTACTTACTAGTTAAACTTTGTTTCTACTCAAAGATTTTGAAATCTCAAGAAATAATGTGAATTTTAACAGCCTTACAACATGTGAATGAATATATACAGACTTTATCAGGGAAGATAAAACACGAAAATATTGAGTAAGCGTCAGAACGAGAGGGACTGGGACTCGCAAACAAACTTTACAGTAACAGTAAATTTCCGTTAATTTCTTATGTAGAAGAAAAGAATCAAAAAGACGTTTGTAACGAAAAAATTTTTTTTTCTTCATTTACGTCAGATATTAACATCCAAAACAGATCCTTTTGAGCATTAAAAATAATAAAGAACTGAACGGTAGTCTAAGAGAAATGAATTTGTACCAACATATATGGATAAATATTTATTCATGTTACAGTAATCTCAAAGAAACCATTTTACAAGATGTGAATACAACTCTTCCGCCATTAAACACAAAAATCACACACACACACATTTATATTATCCGTTCAAAGAGCCCAATAAAATCCATACAGCAAAAACAAATCACGAAAATAAACAAATATCAAAATTATACGAATTGTACATCAAATATAGATGGTGCTTTCAGTGCATGGCTTAGTATTAGCATCAGCACCAACAATATATTGACTGCTGAGTTCAGTTGGAAGCATCATCATCATCAGGGGACAGGATTCAACAATCAGTCACATCTAAATGGGGGGGATGTATCAAGTCGTAGGTGGAAAAAAAGCATACGCTTTGAATTCCAGTACCACTAGACACCTACCTACCTACCTACCATCACAAATAGACAAAAGCTTATCAGTGTGACCATCTTTAAAGCTTTTATACTCTGTCAAATCACCTTGAACGTCGACAGAATGCTATAAATACGCCTGTTTCGTAACATATACACATGCACACATAAAATATTTAAAAAGCTAAATAATACTAAAAAATACTGATACTTTGAAGATATCTGGATCTCTTTCAAACATATGAAAGTCTCAAGATCAATAAAGTATGCACATATATATATATATATATATATATATATGTGTATGCTGCATTCGCTAATAAAGTCGTCGTTCAATAGTTCTCCAAAGCAAAATACTTATATTACTGAACTGAATGACATAATTTCTTTTTAAAAAAAAGTTGAAAAGCAATACATTATGTAATATAAATACATATTGAGGTTATTTTGGTGAAATGTCAATTGTGTTATACTTCCTTCTTATACGGATTTTATCACATAAATTAACCAAATTGACATATAGGTGGATGACAAGTGATACTGTAGCCTCACACTTACTGACGAACAGCTACACACATACACACAAACCTGGATACACATGAAATAGAGTCAGGGGAAATACGGAGTACTGAATACAGTTAACTGAACCGATAAATTACCTCTTTTGAAGGGTCAAAGGGTAAAAAGTACATAAGACGACAACACGCAGAAAAACCTTGTCGTAAATAATAATAATAATAAATAAAGTCCCATAAAACAAAATGATTCAACATTCGTTAAAAAACAAAAGAAATGATAATTTAGGCACAAACATGTTGTAAAGGAAGACAAATTAGATTAAATTAAAAAGGCAAAAACTTTGAGTACTACTCATCACCTGCCTAACATCAATTCTCGTTGATGTTTGTGCGTGTGTCCTTCTACGTATGTATGTATGTATGTATGTATGTCTGATTTGGTCACATACATAGTCACATAAGGCACAAATCTGTCAACAGAAATAATAATACTGTATGTATGTAAATGTGATAGGCATTAGAATGATGCAAAATAAGATAAGATAGTTAGTTGGTTGTAAAAATGACCACCAAAAGAAAAGCATTGAAAAATAAAATTGCATATTGTGAAAGAATAAAAATCAACGACAAAAAATTGAAATGAATCTCTCCACATCATGATCATCAACGTCATCACCGACATCATGGCAATGGGTATAGAACACGAACATAATTCGTTGGGAAATGACCTTCTTGGCCATTCAATTCACCTAGGAACCAATTCTCATCAACCTATTTCATTTTAAGAACAAAAATACAAAATACGATTATTATTGTTATTATTATTATCAAAATACAAACAGAAAAAAGGCTTTAATGAAAAACGCCAGCATGAAGGTGAACAAGGTGTTGGGGCGCGCACACAAACACACGCATAGCAAAACATTCAGAAAAAATATTGTTTTGATATATTCTAACCTAAGTGGGCCTACTTTATACAATCTTATTATAATAATTCAATCAGATTCGGCGCTGAAACTACTCTCCCAGAAAAGTATTCATGATAATTCATGAATAAAAGATGGTTGCACAGTCTCACATACCTGGTGATAAATCACATTTAATATCTGCGAGGGGTTACATTTTGTTAATGTTATTATTATTATTATTGTATCCTTTAATTCCTAGAGGAACATAGAGCTTCAGCCACGCGTCTCCATTGCGTTCAATTCCCTGCTAGAGTTTTCACCTGGCTCCAAGTCTGCCCACACGTTTTCATCTCCTCTTCACACGACCTCCTCCAAGTCACCCACTGTTGCTCTGACCACCAACTCGCCGCTTCCCTTTCGGGTTCCACTCGACCAATGGCTTGTCTAGTGATGTCACTTGATGGTTGGTTTCCTAAGAGTATGGCCAGCCAATCCATCTCCATTTCTTCCTGCTTATTTGTTTCACAATCGCTTCCTGCTGAGTTGGTTCGCTCCCAGAGATCTCTGTTGCTGATCTTTTCTGGCCGGCCATCTGATCTTGAGTATTGAGCGAAGACAACTGTTAATGAAGATCTGTAGTTTGTTCGAAGTGCCTTTCGTGACTCACCAAGTCTCTGATCCATATGGTGAGTAGCACTGACTTCACATTGGAGTTGAAAATACGCATCTTATTTTTGATGCTGCGTAGTGGCTGTTGACCTCCACACTGACTTGAGAGTAGTGAAAGCTTGTATTGTTTTTCTGATTCTTGCTTTGATATTCTCGTTAGTTCTGCCTGTAGTTGAAACGATGCTTCCCAGATAGGTAAAAGATGTTGTTTCTTTCAGGTTCCTTCCATTTATGCTGATTGTTGTCTGTTGTTGTTGTTAATGTTAATGATTATCATTAAAAACACTAAAATGGTATATTATGGGCACTAAGAGATGCACTACACAAAAACCCACAGATTTTGTGAGGACTGGAATACTGTCTGGGTGCCCAAACTGAAGCGAGTGGTTGCCTTAAAGGATCACCATCTGAACACCTTCGACGTGAAGTTTGATCCACAAGACAGTAGAACAGCATTAGGAGCCGCGTCCTTGGGAATCAAAACAGGTTCATACGCCAGTTAATCCTTAAAGATTTTGAAGTCCAAGTACACCGTCGTGTATGTGTTTGGAATCAGAGTTTTCTAACTTCCATAGATAGACCTGAATGTCCTCCAATCTAGTTGTAAGTGCTGGATGTTCGCATTCCCCTTTCCCTCTTGTGAGGAACAACCTCCACCTCCTTTAAGCCAATGAATAGAACTTACCTCACAGAGGTGACGAACGTCAGATCATATGAGGACATTTCAAGGGGAAAACTGAAGTCTACCTACCCTCAGCCGTACCAGGTAGTTTATGGGGGGCTAACATAAATACCACTTTGTGCATCAAACCTCAGCGAAAGAAACTCAATGCGGACATCTGTCCTACTAACTGAAAAACGTCAATTTTTAGACTAACAAGGAAGAAATCTAAAACGAAAACTTCCCATTAATTCAATTTCATCAACAAACAAACTGGAACATTACAATAATTCAGTTTCCTGTAAAGTTGGAGTTTCCAACACATTTAACCGCCCACCTAATTGACGGCATGGCCCTTTGGATATTGCAGGAATGAGTACATTGTCTACATAACAGAAACATGTTATTCATGCACTCAACTAGTGACTGGATAGAATTTTTATATTATTATTTCCTTGGGTTCCGAGTGGAACATAGGGCTTCAACAACACATCTACACTTTCTCCTTTTCTCTGCTCTCCCCTTTCAGTTGGGTCTGCGATTGCCCACAATCTCTAACCTTCTCCTCACCACACCACCTTCTCCATGTCACCCTCGCACAAACGACCCACTCGTCACTTCCCATTTGGATTCCACTCGAACAATGGCCTGCATTGCGCGTGATGTCATTCGACGACCTCCTTAACGTATGCCCGATCCATCTCCACACTATCTCACATATTTGTTGAGCAATCAGTTCTCGCCTGTTGATTTGCATTCAGTCAGATTTTCCTTTTACTAATTCTTTCTGGCCGACCAGCCATTTGACCTTCAGTATGGAACCAGCAAAGCGGGCAGCTGTTGATGAAAGTCTCTAACTAGCTGTCGCAAATCCTATCGTGACACGCATTGCAAGTTTATGACCCATATAGAAGAAGTGACTGACTGACTTCACATTTGTGTCGAACACAATCCGAATCTTGTTGCTTATGCTGACTGGCTGGCTGCAGTGCAGAAGATTTCCAAACTGGTTTCAGGTTGATGACGGCGTATCTCGCCTTTCCGATTCTGACTGGCTGACTGACTTTGATATCTTTATCCGTTCCATATGCCTGTAGTTGAAACGATGCAGGCTTCCTAGATAATTGAAGGAAGTAACCTCTGTCAAATCTCTCCCGTTGATGGTGATTGGTGCTGGTTGTTGTTGATGTTGCTGTTCGTTGGTTGGTTATCTTCATCACCTCCGTCTTCTCTATGTTCACCTGCATTCCTGTCCTCGCTGCGAGTTTGTTGGATTTTGTCTGTAATTCTTCGAGTTTGTGTGACATTGAACACATATCATCTATGAAATCCAGATCTTCTAGTGTCTTCTTATCGGTGGTCCAGCGTATTCCTGTCTCCTCGCTCCCATGCACAGTCTGACTGGAGAGAATATTGTTCATTAAAACACGCAAATTGAAGTCAAACAGCTTTAAGGTATTGGCGTAGTTGCGCTTTAGAGATAACCAAGTAGTAATGAGAAAAATACACAGTAATATTATTCAACAACCCATTCCAATTCCATGCATTTGACAATAAGCCACACCTAATAGTTCGTGAAGGCTACTAACGCTTATCTGGCTGCCGAAACCTTGGGAAGCGGAGCACAGTTTCCAAACCCAAATATGAACACATTTGTTAAGAGATGTAGAAAAGCCTTTTCTGCTTAAACAAACAAACAAACAGACAAACTTGAACAAGTATGAGACTAACCCCCCCACCCCTAAATATTGAAGACTTACCTGTTCAATTAACTTGAGCATATCACCTTCACGAAATGATAATTCAAAAGGACTTTCAGCATCAAAATCATAAAGTGCAATACATGCAGGTGTTTGTTTTGGTTGGTCTAAAAGTGCATGAAAAATAATAATAACAATAGTAAGAGGAAAATAGAACAGTTAGTTTTAAATAATGTAAAAAAATGGGATAGAAACCACAATTTAATATTAGAACAGAAAATATCTCGAAATTTTTGTTTCCATACGGTGGTCCACTCAGGGGAAGTGTAACTTAATCATAAAGTCATAAGGCTTGAAGAACGGTCAGTCAACTTGTTATGCCATTGTCAATCGATGTCTACAACACATAGTGAAATATTGACCGATCCGTCAAAAAAGGTGAGAGATGATCCAATCAATCATATGGTGCATATAATGAGAAATGATTTAGATTACACCCATCACAAATTTGAAAAAGCATTAAATTCACACGAGAACAAAAACAGGAAGTCAACACAAACACACATACACACACAGATCAAATACTACTCAACTATAACAGCAATAATCTCATAGCTCACAAAAAGAAACTGTGTGCACACACTGTAGCAGTTTAGTGCTGAAGAGAATAGAAGAGAAATATCTACTACCAACTGTCTTCAAGAAGAGTGAATACCTATACAGCTTCATCAAAAAAAGTTGAAATTTAAATCGAAATACCAACAAGAAATGATCTTCGAAAAACAGAAGAAAATTCACTCTGTGGCATGTGCTACTGATAAGATTTATCAGTAGTATATAAACAGGCGTTCATCGGCATTAAAAATATGAAATAGCAGAGAGATAGATTTGACGTTAAAGAGAGGAAATGAACCAGCGTTGCCACAAAACATGGGAGACAAGAAATGAAGACAAAGAAACACAAAGATCTGTGCAAATGATGATTTCAAGATAAGGTGTACATTAATTTACAAAAAGTTTTTGTATTTCCCAATGCATGAATGAAAAACAAAACGATATTGCTGCTTTTTACTGACATTCCGCTATTTAATGCTAGCAGCTTTATCAAAGTATTATTAGACCAGAATTTACAAAATCTCAGCTAATATATAACAACTTAATCATCGTTCCTTAGCATGGGGTCCATTTTTACGTTGTCAAGTTAGCCAATTGCTAAAGATAACGAAACCAAGTGTAGATTGTTGGATTTGATAAGCGTGTAAAATCATAAAATCGCAGTGCGTTTATATGACGAAATTCCTCATCATATTCGTGTTGATTTTGTCATTTCATCGGGGAGGAGAGGAGATGCTGTAACCAGGTCAAATCCCGTTTTAGTCCATCATTCCTATTCAGACAATTCGGATTCCATTTGATGATATGAAGTGCTTCTGATATTAGACGTTCTTTGTGATTTCTGAAATCACCAGCCATAGGTCGTCTACACACTATAGAATCAGGTCACAAAATTGATTTTGACAATAATGAAATATCAAGAGATTGATTACTGAACAAAGAATACTCTTTTTGATAACTGTATCATCAGATTCTACAGTTACGTATCCATAATAATGAAAGAATGATTGTTATTGATAAGATTAGTCTTTTTTAAAGAGTAACATAGAATCATTTAGATCACAATTCCATAAGTTATTTGCAATTAGACTGTTAGTAGTCCAATAACTTTTGGAATCCTGATCTAAATGATTCAATGTTGCTGTTTTTTTTTCCTTCACGTTCCCCAGTGGAACATAGGGCTTCAAGCTAGTGGCTTGAAGTTTCTGTAGCAGTGTTTATTTTATAGGATGGGGTTGCTAGCCTCATGCCCAACCTTCCCTCTTCACCAGCATTATTTCTGGCTCAACAAGGTAGAGGAGTGAGTCGGCCGGGGATCGAACCCCGGACCATGTGCATGGTCGGCGAGCTTCCTAACCGCTATACCACCGACGCTGTTTAAAAACCACTAATGTTATTAATAACAATCATTCTTTTATTATTATGGATACGTAACTGTGGAATCTGACGATGAAGTTATCGATAAGTATATCCTTTGTTGAGTAAACAATCTTTTTAAATTTTGAATGGGTATCTTTAATCAATATTGAAATAATCCAGAAATGACAAAACGCAAATGTGATAAGCAGTTTCGCTATGTAAACACATGCTGCTTTGATAATTTTACACACTTATCAAATCCAACAATCTACACTTGGTTATTTTTATCTTTACCGATTGACTAACTTGAAGACATAAAAATTACCTCACGCTAGAGAAAGATGATTAAGTAGCTGTATATATAACCTAAGATTTTGTAAATTCTGGTTTAAAAATACTTTGATAAAGCTATTGGCATTAATAATAATAATAGCAATCTACTTTATTCCAAAAACAGAATGGAATTCTCAGCGTTTGTCACAATATTGCATCTGATTTTGTCCACATTTACCGCATAAAGTCAAAAATATTCGAAGTACAAAATGAGAATGATAAATATAACGATAATAACAGGCGGTTTGTTTCAAACACTATTGTCAATTCAGTTTGAAAATTTTAGGATGTTATAGATCATTGAATCTAATGTTCTGTTGATGTAGTATGGTGGGGTGAAATGATGTTCACACTTATGAATAAATAAACAAATAAAAACAAAAAAAATTGAGAGGAATATAAATATAAGAAGTACAATAACAATAAAGGTTGATTTTGTAAGGATGGAGGAAAAATGGTTTATTTAGTAGTGCAAACAAGGTTATTTAGTTCATACCTAACACTATTTTCATCACAAAAAGTACGTGTCAAATATGGTATAGTGGAATTTTTATACTTAGTCGTACGTGCATAAAGTCTTCTGAAAAGACTTCTTGTTTTACCTGAGGAGACACACGGTTGGAGCTGCGGGTAAAGTGGATACTCACTGTCTGACGAGATTCCTTTGGCAAATTTGTTGCATGAAATCAAGTGTCTATCAATGACGATATGAACGATATGGCCTAAAGGAAGACCGCTCGCCCTACTGACAGTCCTCAGAGTTCTACGAAGTATGATGACATAGTCTTTTTTAAGCGATATGTATTCTTTCATATCACTGCATGTAGGATACACAATTATAGATATCAATCTGATTTAGACGAATCGACAATCAACAGATAAATTACTATAGGTCAAATTGACTAACTACTAAAATATAAGTCACATGATAAAAAAGTTCAAATTTCAAGTCAATAAAAACGATCAATAAAGGTGTAAATTAACAATCAATTACGACAAAGGTTTTCATGAGATACAAGTATATATCATTATTCATGGAGAATTCAGATAAGTTTACTTCATATTAAAGCTTTCGCTGAAAAAGCTGTCTAGAAGGACAACGAAAGCCTCGCAAATAAACCACAACTCAGTAAAGTGAACTCACTCAGCCAAATCAAAATATGGTACCCCATAAATAAAGGCTTCTTAATTAAAATTTTTAAAGAAAATCATAGTGGATGAATGCAATGCCCATGGGGAATTGTTCAGAATCGATCACAGTAACACAGATGCATTAATGTATTATCTCCACATTATTTACAACACGATATATACCTTACCTGCCTTGACTTTCGTTCCTCTTTAAATCAAAAACGCAGTATAACTATTCTTGTCGTCTACACAAGTGAGCTCAAAGTACTAAGAAGAGATCAAGCTAGTACATGCTTCCAACACCAACATCAAAATGGTTTACCCTAACAAGAACTTTAACATCAGTACAACTTTCTTAGATTATGTCAATAAAGAACTTCAAGTGACTAGTTGAAATTCCCCTTCCTATCTGTGACGCACACACACACTACTGAACAGCACTGTAATAGTACATAGAAAAAGGAGATTAGGTAGAAAGAGAACAACCTAAAGGTCAGAATAAGGAGGATATAATGGAAAATAGTTGGTGAATGTACAATATTTATTGCATCTGCACCAGTAAGTTGACCTCTCACAACCAGATCACCTGACACTGGCTATACGCAGTTTTGTATAATAATGATTAATAGTAAAAATAGGTTAGATAGAAACATTTTGGCATTCCATATCCATCTCGTCATTATATTAGCAGTTACATTGGGAGAACAGAAAGAATGGCGCACCTCCGGTTTTCTGAACACGTGCCGAAAAGCCTACGTCTCAAGAGAGCAAACTCTTATAGTAGCGCTATTATTAGACATCTCCTCGACACAGGTCATGAGGTAGAAATCGAGAAATCCTTTAAAATTATCAATAGACAAAGGAGTTCCATTCTCCTCAAGTTTGCCGAAGCAATTTCCATCAAACTCTTGAAACCAGATTTATGTGTTCAGAAAGAAGCACTTATTAGTCTTTCCTTGCCCATCCTGGTAACTGAATTTCTTTATTCTCTCATCTGATTGCGTAATCTTTGTCTTTAACCTCACCCCCTTTTATAATCTGTAATTTTACTTGTCTCTTGTTTCTACGATTTGAGTTGAACTCAGTACATTGTGACCTAAGTTATTAGTCACTCTGTATCTAACGCATATTTTTCTTTATTACGTAACTTCTTTACCATTGTATGCACACATTTATTCTGTTTAAACTTGAACTGCCTGTGTAAAATCTATATAAGCACAATTTTCTGAGCACTGTTCACTTATTGTGGAACTTTTTGTCATTTGACAACATGTAAAATTTGCAAGTATGTTAAAACTTTTCTGTACGCAAACCTCATAATTTATTTAGGTTGTAAGCAACTGATGAGAAGCCAACGAAATAAGAGATGATGGTACCATATTATTCTGCACAAACCACTGTTGTTCTTGCTTTATTCAAATTCATCAAGGGGAATAAATGCATGAAGATAGATATCACATAAACTGAAAGATTATCTATTGCACTCCAAGGAAGTACAACAACAAGATACAACAGAATACAAACTACAGTCATTTATTTTTATTTTTTTTTTAAAAAGAAAAGAAACTTACTGTCAAATTTTGGTTTTACTGGAAAGTTTTGTGGAGGATTTGGATCAAATGGTGGGAGGTCAGGAAAACTTGTTTTTGGACCAACTGGATATGGAGTATGCCGTCTTGCCTGATCACGTCTACAGAAAATCATCAGAATTATGGAAAGAAAAAAAACAACAAACAAATAATATAAAAGTATTTTCATGAATAAAAGCACCAAAAAGTAATCGATCGATATAAAGCATTTCCCATATTTAACATCATAAAAATCATCTTCCTGAGTAGAACCTACGGCTTCAAGGTATAGAGTTTCAGTAGCGGTGTCATTTTCAGAGGTTTACGGTTGCTATTCCCACTGGTAACCTTCCTGATTTTCCAGGATCACTACCAACTAGGCAGGGTTCAACCGGGAATCGAACGAGCATCATCTCCCGTGTGTCTTGTGAGTATTCTACCACTGTTTTATTCGACAATGGATACATCTAGAATGATATGAGATAGTAATGCCTTCCAGAATCAATGAGAAAAAATAAGACCGCAGCCAACTGTATTTTATTGTTAGTTATCACAAGTCACACCACAAGATCAAATTCTGTTTTACTGCATCATTCCTATTCAGACAATGTGGATTCCATTTGATATGAAGTGCTTCTGATATTAGAAGTTCTTTGTAATTTCTGAAATCACCAACCATAGGTCTACACACTATAGAATCAGGTCACAAAATTGTGGCACAGTGGTTAGGACTCTCGCCGACCATGTACATGGTCCGGGGTTCAATCCACTGCCGACGCACACCCGATATCTATGGTCGGCCTGTAAATTTGGGCTACCGATATCCATGCTGAAAATTCCATACTTGTACTGAAAATACGGTGTGGCATCAAGCTGTAATCAAAATAAAATAAATAAAATAAAGACAATCTGTGCAACTGAATTCCACATTTCTTCTATTTGTAGCCTCGCTGAATTCCAAACTCTAGGCACAGCTTAAAGTTCACTAAAGAAGTCTATATGGGATTGCTAAGATGCAGTCCCAACGCGTTAGAATAGATTCACTAGTTAGGCAAGAAAAACAGATTAGAATTCTGAAGGAAAAAAATTATTACAATAAACAAAACAGAAGGAAACTCTGCCACAGTTAGTCGACATTGCCATCAAGTTCACTGGTTATGGATGTACGTATGCATGTATGTGCGTATATATTTCATATATCTTTAAATATTCTACACTATTATGATTGCTAAAAACAAACAGATGTACCGAGAGAAAATCAGAGAAATGAACTAGCAAGCCTAAATATACAAAATAGACATATATATAAATAGAATTGGAAATGTGCTATCAACTAACCACCAGCACCCAACCAGCTAACTGATCGATAAATGTTAAAAATCATCCAGAAATTAGTGCAAATTACTATAAAAAGATACATGCACTAGTAAAAGAAGAATATGAAAAAAAGAAACAACAACAACAACTACTACTACTAGAATTCAGAGGATAAAAAGTATCTGTTTGTGAAAAATAGAGAATTCCTTTTATCTACAAGGCTGTTGTGTGTGTGTGTGTATGCGCATGTGAATGTGCTTCAATACTGATACACGATATTTCGTATAAATGTTGTATAAGAGTAATGAGAAAATACACGTGAATAGTACTGCTGCAATCTTATGTCAATTGTTAACAGGTAAAGAAGGTGAGGTTCTGGAGTATTGATAGAGACAGACTGAAAGCTTTATACACAAAACACTACTAGGTAGAATGGTAGAGAGTACGACAAGCTATCATCAACCAACAGTAGAGTTAGATAGGGTTGCTTAACCTTAACTTTTCTCTTTAACTTTGTCATCGATGACATTCTGGGGGGAAACTCTGATTATGAGAGGAATCCTTTTCCACCGGAAGTATGCAGATGAGATCGTCTCACTATGTGATAACACACAGGTTGCCCAAATCCCACTTAATCAATCGGTGGTCAGTGTCTGGAAATATGGTATGTATGACGGCGGAACGTGTAACTGTACTCACGCTTATAGATGAATCATTAGAAGCAGCCGATAAGTTTAGGTACATTGGTAGTTGTGCAGGTGCTATTGGAGATATAGCGGATGAGATCTCGGACTATAGAGTGAAAAAACGACCAGCCAAATGGTCCTGAGCAAACAATCAGGTTACATGACCAAGTTCATTGAAAAACAGAAAGATTGAGGGAAGAAATATTTACTTTTCAGTTGGATCCTCATCTCTGACTTTACTCTAATATACATAGCATTTTTATTACAATACACAACAGTTTACCAATCAAGTGGCGATATGTTTGTTAACAATAATTAAACAGTGTTAAAATGTCAATGGGTTGATAATTAAGGAAGAAAATCAATACACATTTAAAAGGTAGAAATAGTTAGAATAAATTAATTTTACAAGGATAACACGTAACTAAAGATGAAGTGGTCAAAATAAAAATAAAACAATTTAGACAATTATAATTTTTATAGGTTTAGGGGGAGGGGGCGACGTAGTCCTGTTTATGCATTCTTGTAACGATGGCCACGGTAAGGAAAGTGGCTGTACAAATTTCTTCTGTACACATAGGCTTGATTTCTTAAAGTGGATTCCGATTGCTTCAGCTGTCTGTAGAAGACTAACTCGTAGAGGGAAATTAAGATTAGTCGGAATGCGATAAATAATTTTAAATGCTGTATTAACATCAACTTTGTGCTCAGTATCAACAAGGTGTGCTAAAATAGAACTACGAATAGATCTTGTTAGTCCCTTGCTTAACCATGATGGATGATGTTCGGAAATACGATGAACCTGCCTAATTGTACGCTCAATGTAGCTGGCTCCGCAACTGCAGTCAAACTGGTAGATACACATAGACTCTTCAGCCATCTGAGTAGGAATCCAAAATTCTGGGGTTTATCATGTTAAGGTGAAGCAGATGCTCATTGAAAGTATTGCTTTAAGATAGCGCTACACATTACGAATTGACAAAGTCAAAATTCATGCGTTGTTGAATCCTCATTCAAGTGTCTGAATGGTCAAGGAGCTTCGTCTCGTAGTTTCGATCCCTGGTGGGGAGGTGAGTGAGCACTACTGAAGAGCCCCTGATCTCTACTTCATGTTTGTTCATGAAGAAATCTACTTTGAATTTAATATAAATCCCTGCAAATAACCACCCATAATCTATTAATATAAAGCTGCTATTCTGATTGGTTGTTCAAGGTCACCTGGTAGGTCGTTTCTTTAGGTTGTCATTAGTTCAAAATTTACACACAGCTAGCTGAATTAAAATAATATAAGTAGTACATTAAAACACAATCATTCAATACACGCGACAGTATGCATGTTAAAAACGATAAAAAGAACAAAAGACTAAGATACTAGTAAGACAAAACCCAGAACGATCACGAAAAGTTAAACGAGAAAAAGTAAGCAAACATACTTTCAATTCACATGATAACATTTAAAGAATGATTACTACACAAACACACAAGCACACACACGCACACACATAAAGACATTTGAGAACCAAGATCATAAAAAAAATCAAAAAGAGATAGTAAAGGTACTGATTAGCAAGAAACACAAAGAGGGATAGAGAGAGAATTTCAAAAATCTTGTTAAGTTGAGCCTAATTAGGATACCATGTGAAGTTGATGCAAGATTACGCTAAAGCTTATCAATTAAGTTTTTTAAAAAAACAAAAAGTATGGATACATAAAACGTACTGTACACATTTAATCGATAAATCAGTATAGAACACTAAAATGCTGGAAAAATCATTCATGAAATCCAGTATTAACGTTAAAAAATTGACGGAAATCATGGCCCTATTCAGGTAGGTAGTTACCTGGGGTTCCAGCGGGGAGGTCATGACCTGTAGGGTGCAGCAGGTCGGGTGTGAGGACAAATACTCGCCGAAGACATTGGCTAGCGGTTGCGCTATATCGTGAATTGGCAGAAGTTAGAATTCATGAACTGGCCATTGAATCGGGTCTCAGTGGTTTAATGGTATACGAGCTGGCTCGCCTTGTAACCAGAAGGTCCTGGAATCGAACCCCGGTGAGTGCGTGCTACTGAAGAGTCCCAAACTAGGACGAAACAGCTGAGCAGTACTACCAGGTTTTCCAATGGTTCTCTAACCAATGTCAGCTCATGATGAAATCCTGTAACCAAGGAAATCATTTCCTTCATTTATCTGGGCAGCACCCGTTCTACAGCCCGAGGAACAGATAAGGATGTCAACTATATTAGATCACAAAGGGAACACAGATCGTCATTACTTTGAAATCAATTCGAGAAATCTGCTGCAATCAAACGTAAAGAACAAGATTTGGATTTTCAATATCAAGAGTCAGTTAGTGCTTTCATGTAGTTCAGAGACTTGGTGGATACGTCCTGAAAAGTATTTCCAACAAACAGCCTATTGCAGACTTTCATCGACACAGCTGCCTTTCACTGCACACTGAAGAAGATCATACGGCCAGAAAGCATTAGCAACAAGGAACTCTGGGAACTAACCAACCAAGAACCATATTACCCAACAAATATGTAGAAGAAAATGGATATGGATCGGAGACACACTGAGAAGACCACCAGACCCTAGACAAAATGTGTGCGGGTACGAAGGTGAGATGGAGGAGATCATGTGAGGAAGAAATGAAAACTTATAGGCAAAACTGAAGAGAAAAGGATAAAATGGAGATGTGCTGATGAAGCCCCATGTTCCACTGGGATCCCAAGGTAGTAATATTAATAATAATATAATTAATTACAAGCAAAAAGAGCCCTAGTTTGTTGGACACGTCTATAACACAGAGTATGACATGATAAAACAATTGAAAATAATTCCAGGAGTGAATAATATCCCAAGCGGTTAATAATGCAGCTTCCCCTTACAAACTAAGCTAAGATTAGCGCCTAAGTGTAGTGTACATACTAGTATTCTACTGAATATCCAAGTCATCCCAATATGTACAGGCCATTCAATAACCAAGTGTATCTTTAGATAACTAACTGACCATAAGACACACCGCTTTCGCTAACTTATACCATCTCTGGCGTAGGCGTGACATCCCGCTATCAACCTAGGAACGTGTGTACTTCTCAGCAGTTTGCTCCATCCTTC